CTACTTAGGTCCTGATCCATATGTTGCTCGGTCATCCATCTGTTCACTCATTCATCTACTTAGGTCCTGATCCATATGTTGCTCGGTCATTAATCTGTTGTTTCACTCATTCATCTGTGCTTGTACTGAACTGATGTTCCCTTATTCATCTGTTCAGGTACTAATCCGTCTACTTACTCATTGATTCATTCAAGTATGGGGGGGGGGGTACAGAGAGGTGGTGGACTAGTGGTTAGAGCATTGCGCTCGGATCCCTGAGGTTCTGGGTTCGACTCTCACAGACGACCACTCTGGGTCCCTGAGCAAGACCCTTAACCCAACACTGCTCCCCAGGCGCCACACAGCGGCAGCCCACTGCTCCCCAAGGGGAGGGGTTAAATGCAGAGAGGATTTTCTCCAATGTTGGATCAATGAAGTTCAATAGTATAAGTACTGATTTTTCTCTTCAACCATTCATCTATGTGTGTATTGAATCATCAGCTCACTTATTCATCCTCTCAGGTAATGATCTCATCTCACCCATTCATGTTCTGATTGGTTTGCTTACTCCATCTGTTCAGGTATCCATTTGTCTGTTCACTCATTCATCTGTTTAGGTTCTGATCTGCAGCTTCACTCATCCATTTGTATACTGATCAGTTTGTTCACTCATTCATCTGTTCATCTTAGACAACACAAGAATTGAGATGATCATTTATTGTTTTTATTCTTTTTACTGAAGAAACACCGGGGAGGGGATCTCCATGGCAACAAGTCATACAAACCCCCATCACTTGCAAAACCATCACCATGGTTACAGATGCTTGGGGCAGAATATATCTCACAGGAAGTTACATCACCAAGTCCAAGAGGAGAGAAATGAAGAGCAACTGAGGAAGAGACAAAAGGATGAAGAGTGGTGGAGGAAGATGAAAGAACATATAATGCTGCATAGCAGGTGAGGAAGAGGAGAAAACTGTGTGAAAGGCATCAACAGGAAATGACCTTGCACACCTGTACAGGAAACAGGAAGTAGTCACACTGAGCATCAGTTTTCGAATCATAAAAAAACAAAAAAACACATCACAAGGAGCTAGATCTTCAGCGCCCCAAAATTAAAACCCGAGAAGAAGATCTAGATCTCCAGATCTTCATGTGGGTATTTTGACCTTTCAATGAATTTTAACTTACATTTTGACATCAAGATCCTCATTTGGACTTTATGACCTTTAAGAAAAAGATTTGGACTTTCATTGAAACACCTAGACCTTTATTTGGACCTTCAGAAAAATGTTTAGACCTTTAGATGGACAGTTGGACCCTTATCCAGACATTGGACCTTCATTCAGACGTTGGATCTTCATTCAGACGTTGGACCTTCATTCAGACATTTGGACCTTCATCCAGACATTTGGACCTTCATTCAGACGTTGGACCTTCATTCAGACGTTGGACCTTCATTCAGACATTTGGACCTTCATCCAGACGTTGGACCTTCATTCAGACGTTGGACCTTCATTCACACATTTGGACCTTCATCCAGACATTGGACCTTCATTCAGACNGAATCAATCTGACTGGATGATCTGGTGAACTGGAAAGTGACCTGAGATGACATGATGTGAATTGGAGCTATAGAAATAAACTGAATAGAATATATTTGTATACATAAATATATAACAGGTCACCTTTTTGATCAAAAACAGTAGTTATGCAATCAGTCAGGAACTAACTGTGTTCTATTATATCACTAAAACAGACAGAAAAGTCAGCATAGAACATCTAAAATCTGTTTTTAGCTGTATAACAGCACTGATGGAAGAAATCCAGTGATTTTGTTCCTTCTGTCCGTTTCTGCACACTTAGGTGGAGTAGTGGTGTAAGGTGACCTGCTGCATCCTGTGCATTACGCTGTCTTGTTGCTGTGGGTGACCATTTCCTGTTGTCAGGGTGACAGCAGAAGAAATAAAATGTCGCAGCCGCTTGAGACACGCACACACGCTCGTTTGTTTGCTGCCATCTTTGTTAGGACGCTCAGAGGCATCCTGCATATTGTGTTTTATCCCGGTTTCTGCACAGGTTCTGGTCTGATCTGAACACAAGTAGAACCAGAACCAAAAGGACCCTCTGACAGCTTTCAGATATACCTGAAGAATTAAATCTGCAGTTTGCTGAAAGAGGCAAACATCTTTTATTACATGGTTCAAAAGCTCCTCAGTCAGTCATGAAGAAGCAGAACACACACACACACAGATAGGGGTGACGTAAGTCACATCAAAGGTCCACAGCATCATTCTGTATCATGTTACCGTGACGACGCAGCATCACGGTCCTGCATGGAGAAGCTAGATATGAAGGCAATGAAAAAAGGTGGATGTCTTACCTGAGTGGTGTGAATCAGAGAGGCAGCGAGCAGCAGGAGGCTGAGAGACGCCATGCTGCAGATGGAGGGAGACACACACTGAGGCTGAGGCTCCAACACGCCGAAGGAAGGAGGGGGGAGGGGCGATGACTCAGGAGGGGAGGAGGAGAGCTTTGCTTTGTCAGGAACTAAAGAGTTAAACAGGACTGAGCAAATTTAAAACTCTCCTAAACAAATAGACGCCCCTTAAAAATACAAAGATTACCTCAGTTTATATTTATAAATGCATTCTACCTTAAATGCTTTCTTTTTTGCAAATAGTATTTTCATACTTAATCAATTTAAATGTATTTTCTATCTTTTGAAGAGACATTCAATTCATTAATGCAGCATTTTAAATTTAACGGTATATTAAATATCTGAATCATGTCCTACAATAAATATTACATCTAGTTACAGTGAGGAAAGTAAGGATTTGAACACCCTGCTGTTTTGCTAATGTAGAAACCATGGAGGGTCTGAAATGATCATCATAGGTGGATGTCCACTCTGAGAGACATAATCTAAAAAAACACCCAGAAATATATGATTTTTGAACTATTTATTTTTATGATACAGCCGAAAATAAGTATTTGACCACCCGGCTATTAGCTAGAATTCTGACCCTCAAAGACCTGTTAGTCTGCCTTCATGTCCACCTCCATTTATTATCATGAATTAGACGCACATGTTTCGTTAGCTGCATAAAGACACCTGTCCACCCCAGACAATCAGTAAGAATCTAATCTGCTAATAACATGTCTGAGACCAAGGAGCTGTCCAAAGACACGACAGACTAAATGTCCCACCTCCACCAGGCTGGAAAAGGCTGCAGGGAAATAACCGAGCAGCTTG